TCTGTTCCTAATCTGAGATTACTGCAATAAACAAGACAGACCAGCTCTGTTCCCTTAGCATCTTCTACTGCAGAAGTCAGATCACATCTAATCCCTAGGACTTGACAGTCACCTCTGTGTCCTTACTGCTATGTATTTAATCTCAATTTTCAGGGACTGAAAAGTCTGGAGTTCACTCCCCACACCTGCCATCATGGTCAAGTCTTGCCAGGACTTCATTCTCAGGTGCCCTAACTGAACTCACCATCTTCCTCCCCACAGGAGTTCTTTCTCCTGTCTTCTCTGATTTGCCAATGTTGTCATTACTTCCTCATCACCAGGCACTAAACCTCAGAGAATCTCAGTTGCCTCCACTTCCTCTGTCCCAAGACATCAACCCATTCTATTCTTCTTTCTTGTGGACAGATGATTTTCATCCTGTCATTTCCTTACACACTACTGTGTATTGAGTTCAAATCTTCATTTCCAGTCTGGACCACTGTACTTCTCACAAAGATGTCCTGTATTCTCCCCCTTCATTCCCTCCTCTAGAGCATCCTAATCATTGCTGCCTCACTATTTTTAGTCATGTCAGGGAGGTATCAATGCTATGATATTCAGTAGACCGACCTCTTGAGTACTTTTAAAATCTTTAAATCTTTTTTTTTAAGATTTATTTATTTATTCATACAGAACTGGGGTACAGGCCAGAGTTGCAGGGGCAGTGAGAGGATTCACCAGAGACAGAGTGGGGAGCAGAACAGGCAGTTGGACGAAGTACACTGCTGAGGGGAGCAGCGGGCGGGTCAGGAGAGGTCTGCCACGCCATGTGGTCACCTCCGGGGCAGGCGGGGATCAAACTCATGCGGAAGTGGCTTTCGATTCTTAGTGCTGTGCTTTAACCCGCTGTGCCACCAGGGAGGGACAAAAATCTTTAAATCTTTAAAGTCTTTCTTGAGTACTTTTAAAATCATTGACCTACCATAATATTCCACAAATATGATATAGTTTCAGCTCCTTGGTATTTGACACTATCCATGACCTAGTCTCATCGCTTCTCTGAGCTGCGTCCTTGTAATCACTCCACACCACCACCTCTACTTTGGATCTCTTTTCCCTCTGTTCAAACTTGAAATTATTCCCCTCCTTCTCATAAATGTATCTTACAGCTCAGTTTTCAGAACATTGGTCTTAAGTCAGACACTTCCAGTTCAAATTCCTGTTCTGCCAATCCCGAGCTGTGCAACCTTAAAATGGCTTCGTTTTCTTAACAAAAACATGTGGGAAAAACTGCCTGATGGCAGAGTTGTAACAATTGAGGGAAATAATGTTCAGCTCATATATGATCCATCTCACTATCAACTCTGTATGCCAAACAACTAGAATTCCAAGCTACTTCCATAGTAGGGAGAGCCCCTCCCTTAAACACCTGGGACTTCTGATGGCCAATAAGGCAGGAACACTCAACCAGCTGATTTCCTGCTCTGGGTGATGCTTCCACCCATTTCTGCAGAGAACTTCCCTCAGAAAGGCCCTCCTTAATCCCTTCTAAAGTCCCCAAATTACAACTTCTGTTCATATCTACACTTTTATCTTATCTTATTTTTACCACAGCACTTTTTTTAAAATACAAAATTATCTGAATTTTTTGCTCACTTTTTTGTCTTCCTCTCTCACAGGTAAGGTTCATGTTGACAGGATCTTGGTCTCACTCCCCATCCTGTTCCAGCACCACAAACCACAGTGTCCATGAAATTGAGTGAATGCAAGAACAAATTAATCTATGCCTCTCCCAAGTGTCTCCATCCTTTAGACCTAGCTCACACCCTTCCTCCCTTGAAGCCTTATGAACTACCCAGTCCACATCACTTGCCTTCATTTTAAGTCCTGTAATAAATTCCACTTCCACTGAGTTCCCATATAGCCATGTCCATGCCATGTTCTGCTCATGATGTTCCAGTATTTATATGTGTCTGTATTTATTGTATGTATTATGTGATATTGTTTCTTGTGATATTATCATTTGTCTGGTTACTTACTACATTTCTCAGACCATAAGCTCCTTGAGGTCAATCCATATTTTTTGTACATTTCCTTGAATTACTTAACACAGTATTTTATATATTATTCACTGAAAAACATTTGCTTATTTATTGACCAGGCAGTGTTCTAGATGCTATGAATGAAATGATAAATATAGGACAGTCCCTAAATAATCAATTGGGTCACACCATTCAATTATCTCAGCACACAAATTAAGGAGAGGTGTCTCTTGGTTCTGTTGAAAGTCAAGGCCAAGTCAAATCAAAAATCGCTGCTGTTGGCTGGAGGGCTAGATAGCTGCAGGTTTAAGGTGGTCACCTAAACTCTCAAGCCTTTCCAGACCTGTTAAACAGAGGAGGATACTTATTTAGAGAATTGCGAAAGTACCTCATAAACCCTAAGTTTAATATAAATATCATTTGTTGCAACAACCACTATAAAAACAAAGTTGAAGCTGAAACAGGAGCCATCATGAGTAAAATACATCTAACAATGCTGTCACTGTCTTGCTAACAATACTTTGTTATTATTCGAAGGTAACAGGAAATCTGATTTTGCCTGCCAGTGTACTGAGTTCATGTTGCCAAATCCCCTTCAGGCCCTACTTTTGAAGAGTACTGCTTCCACCTGGGGGGATGCCTGTGCCACCTCGGGGATCCCTGTGCCACCTGGGGGATGCCTGTGCCACCTGGGGGATGCCTGTGCCACCTCGGGGATCCCTGTGCCACCTCGGGGGATGCCTGTGCCACCTCGGGGGATGCCTGTGCCAACTCGGGGATCCCTGTGCCACCTCGGGGGATGCCTGTGCCAACTCGGGGATCCCTGTGCCACCTCGGGGGATGCCTGTGCCACCTCGGGGAATGCCTGTGCCACCTTGGGGATCCCTGTGCCACCTCAGGGGATGCCTGTGCCACCTCTGGGATCCCTGTGCCACCTCAGGGGATGCCTGTGCCAACTTGGGGATCCCTGTGCCACCTTGGGGTATGCCTGAGTCGCTCAAACATCTTTGCCTGCTGCTGCAGCTGCTGCTGCTGCTAGAATCAGGAAAGTCCACGAGGTCATGAGCAGAGAGTGCAGGCCATGCAAAACAGCATTCTAGGTTTCTATGTCAAAACTGTTCTTAGAATGCCCAAATCTCTCTGATCAGAGTCTCTCTGGGATGGCCAGTTTGGGGCCAGGGGTTGTGAGCTGGCGGTACGGCTGACCCATGGTCATTTGATGGCTATCAGTGCGCCTCCTGTTCAAGGGCGTTGCTCCGTGTCTCTCTGTGAGTCACTACCTTTCTTTCCCAAATCTCAGGCCTCGGCTTCCTGCCTAAGGGTCACCCTCATCACCCTCAGGTTGCTTCCCAATCTGCCTCCTCTGAGTCAGACAATTCTCCCTTCCCACCTCAGCCCTCCACCAGGTTCCCGGGGTTGTTTCAACACTCATTACTGATGTGGAGAGGCAGGTCCACAGGTGACTTCATGTGCTTATAAACAGTATCCACAAACCACCTCCCACTAGAATCACAGTATCCCAGAGATGGAGGTAGGGCCCCTCCCACCCAAGGCTGGACTGCCCTTCAGAAACTCCCTGGCAGGGTCATTCAGCTTCAGCTTTAAACATCCGGGATGAATCAATGGCACATTTCTGACCTCGCCTCTGAGCAAATTCCTTTGGCTGGGTGGATGTCATGACAAAGCCTGCCGGTCGTTGGGTCATTGATGAAGCAGCAGCCAAGAAGCCAAGCTCCAATTTTCTAAGAGCCTGGGTGTGTCCGCTGCAGCCAAATCTCCCTTCCCCGGGATGCTGTGATTTCTAAGGCTGAGGACTTGGGCTTGGAGTCCAGCAGACTCCAGTCTGTCTCACCTCCCTCCCTTGTCACCTGGGGGCCTTGGACATTCACTAACTGTGACTTTAGCCAAGACAGTGAAACTCCCTGAACTCAGTGTCCTCAAATATATATGGATTTCCCTTTATATATGTGTATGTGTGTGTGTATAAAAAGGATATAGATAGATAGATAAATAGATAGATAGATAGATACACACATATAGATACACACATATACATATAAACATAAAGGGAAATAAATGTCTCTATTTTGAGGCTATTGTGAGGATTAAATGGGCTAATAACTCTAAAGCAGCCTGCTACCTGGAACAAATTAAGTGCCCAATAAAGGGGAGCTGTGGCTGCTATTATTATCACTGTTATTTTTGTCTCTTTGCTTTTGAACTCAGTGGACACCACTACAATGAAAATTATTCCTGCTTTCTCTTTCTTGAAATGAGTGGATGAGATCTGCACCCCCAGGCATGGGTCTCTGGCCCACTAGAGATCCCCCCCTCCTCACCCACACCTGCAGAAAATGACATCCCACTTTGCAGGGCATGGCACCTCTCACCCCACAGAGCTCTGGAAACCCTTGCTCCTGATCATCCTGCTGCACTGATGAAGCCCGGGGGGGGGGGGCAGGATCCAGAATATCTAGCTAGAAAAGCTTCCTCAGCCAGCAAGCCAAGCAGTGGGTGGGCCAGTAATCCACGCAGAAGAAGTGTCAGCTCTCCTGATTCCAAAGTCCCAAGAGCTGCTGATCCAAAACTGGGCTGCATGCGTCAGGAGGAAAGCTCTAGAAGATTCTGAGGTCCCGAGTTGATCATTTAAGAGCCTAGCCTTGGAGTCAAGCATCCAGTCTTGTCCATCAGGTACCAGCTGGGTGACTTCATTTTGGCCTCAGTTTCTCTTCTGTAAAATGGGGCAACACAGCACCTTCCGCACTGAGTCACTGAGAATGAAGTGAGACGAAGCATGACAGGTGAGGCCCTGGGACACTGCCTGGCTATCTCAAGTAAACACCAGAGAGTCAGGCTTGACTTTTCCTTCTCTGCCATTGACAACCATACCGAGCCTTGCTATGGGAGCTGAGAGAGGTAGTAGGACACCATAACAAAGACATGAATGAAAGAACCAATAGGAAAGAGGATGTTCTCTGGAGGTAGAAGCTTTATTATGCCATCTTCACAGAACAGTCAAAGCAGTAGGCATTTTTGGAGCACCTACTGTGTGCAAACCCTGCACAGTAGGACCCAAAGCCCCACCACGGTTCTTGGGTTCCCCACGAGGGATCTCACAGGAGGTCAGGGAGTTCCCTGGGACTGCGGACAGGGTGGGTTCTAACATCCGAGCGCACGCGGTTTTACAGCGAGAGGGGGCGTACGCCGAGGCGCACCGGCCTGGGAGCCTGGGAATGCAGGGTGGGGACACGAGGTGGGCGGGCTGGCGGGAGGGGCAGGCCGGCGGGGCGCTCAGCAGCCGCCGCAGCAGCCGGTGTTGCTGGTGCTCTGCGACCTCTGGCTGCCGCCCCCGCAGCAGGAGCAGCACCCACTGCGCTGCCGGCGCCGCCGCCGGGGGAAGCAGCAGCAGCCGGTGGAGCTGGAGCCGCAGCAGCCGGAACTGGAGCCGCAGCAGCCGGAACTGGAGCCGCAGCAGCCGGAACTGGAGCCGCAGCAGCCGCCCCTGCAGCAGGAGGACGAGGAGGAGGGCGCCGGGGCGGGCGCCGGGGCGGGGCACGGCCCGGAGCCCTGGGAAGACCCCTTGGAAAAGCCCTTGGCTGAAGCCATGCTCTGCTGGGAGGACATTGCGGAGAACCTGCAAGAAAGGCAGCCTGTCACACGCAAGCGGACGTTTTCTCTGGACAGTGGAACGCAGGGCTTTCAGATTTGCATTTGTGAGCAAGTGAATCTGGCTTGGTGCCAGGAAGGGGAAAAGAAGACACTATAAAAGGCACCGGTGAAGGGAAGCAAGAAACAAACCCCAGAGAGTGTTTCCAATCAGTTCAACAGCCCTGGGTTGGAGGAGTGGGGCAGCCGGCTAAGCAAAGAATTAGTTTCCCCTCTTCTCTAAGATGAAGGTGAAGACCACCCGAGCACTGGGCAGAAGCCGGTGAGAACCTGGTGCCAACTGATCCCACGATCCAGTTCCAAAATCTGCTGCTGATTGCAACATCTCCCACCCCCACCCCCTATTTCACTGTGCCCACAAAGCTACAGGGGATACTGGCATGGCTGTTAGCACTCTATAAAGTGCCTCTGTGGTTTAGAAGGCCTCAAATCGCACAGGTGTCCCTGATGCCTGGGTCTAAAGAATCCACAAGCACCAGTGCCTGGTCTTTCTCTCCTGCCTCTCATTCCCTGCAGCCATCAGGCAGAGTGGTCAGAAGACAGAAATTCGTAGCAGCCCTGGGAGCCCAGAGGCCTGGCCCCACTCCCAGCTGTGCCATGGGCCTGCACTGCAACCGCAGCTCACCCTCCCTTGGGCCTCCACCACCTCACCGGTATCTCGCCAGATGAGTTCCCATGAAGCATGGGCCCTTTCCAGGGCTCCCCCCGCCCATACACACACCCACCTGCAGGCTGCATTCTGCCCTCTCCCCCCTCCACTTCACCTCTTCCCAAGCCCATTTGGGCTCTGCTTGGAGACTTACCAGATGCTAGCTCTCTAGAAGACCCACTCAGTTCTTCAACTGGAACGGGCCACCTGCAAGGCAGTGGACTGAGTAGTGACCAGCCAGAGAACCTTTTATAAGATTCATCCTCGCACCAGCACTTGGGAGGGGCCCGTTTCCCAACACACTGGCTCAGCTGACACTCACATCCCAAAGCCATTCATCACTCAGGTAGCACCGTAGGTGGTGCACGTGGGTATTCAAGTCACTCTAGAGAGGTGCCAGGATTGTTGTGGAGTGTTTACTTTCCAAACAGGACAGTTCATAGCTAGGAGGCTACGTATATTCCAAGAAAAGGCACCGTGTGGGGGGAAGGCTGGGCACCCTCCTTGGGATCTGTTCTCTTTGTGCCTTTCAGCAAAGTACAGGTACACACACACACACACACACACACACACACACACACACCCTTCCCCTCCACACAGGCATCCTGTAGAGTCACCAGCTGCTTGTTCGCTGACTTATCCTAGTTTGCATCTCTCTGGCTCTTGGTCCTTGAGTCCCAGGGGCAGACCACAGCTATGTGGAAAGCCTGCTGGGTTTCATCCAGATGCTTCCGGATGGGTTGAGTGAAGATGACGGCAGGCTGCAGAAGTGGGAATGCCAGCGGTGATTTCTGTCACTGGAGACAGAAAGAAGAACCCAGCAAGCCCAGTTATGGAATCATTGAGACGAGAAACCTATCAGTCAGGTCCCTTTGTCCCTCTCTAGCCTGATGGGCCTGGGAGGAGGCTGTGCAGGACATGGGTCCAGTTACAAAAAGCCGGACTGCTCTGCTCGTTACCCCACCCAAGCCCCCATGGAGATAGGTTGTCCCTAGGGCCACTGCCAAATGGGTGGAGGGGGTGAGTGGGGAGAGAAAGAGGAAGAAAGAAGGGAAGAAGGATGGGAGGGAAGGAGCAGGAGAGGGAATGGTTGGAAAGGTAGAGAGGGAAAAGAAAGACTTTCCCGAGTCCAGAGTGTCTATGAAAAAAATGATGCTTTTAGAATAAGGAACTTTAAAAAAAATTTTATTTATTTGTACATACAGAACTGGGGTACAGGCCAGAGGCTCAGGGGCAGCGAGAGGCTTCACCAGAGACAGAGTGGGGAGCAGAACAGGCAGATCAACAAAAGTACACTGCTGAGGGGGGCAGCGGGCGTGTCAGGAGAGGTCTGCCGCGCCATGTGGTCACCTCCGGGGCAGGTGGGAATCGAACTCATGCGAAAGTGGCCTTAGCTTCTCAGTGCTGTGCTTTAACCCACCGTGCCACCTGGGGAGGACATAGAATAAGGAACTTTTAAGAATTGAGAGAGCCTCGGAAGGCGAGCTAACCTCAGAAATGCTTCTTAATTAACACAATTGCCTGTGATCTTGAATGTGAGGTATAAGAGAAATCCAAAAGGAGAATTCAAAAGTCAATGGCAAGACCAGCTTTGGGGATAAGCGAGCTGGGAGTGGCATGAGGGAACAGACAAAAGAAGTTAAGTCACAAAAAAATACCAGTTTCATTAATGTGGCTTTAGAGCCTGATTAACAGGTTGTGTGCACCTAGAGATGAGGTCAATATTAGAAAAGGAAGTAATGACGTGACAAGGTGGAGGCAGGAGCTCTGGAGGTGATTTTTGGACAAGCAGGTGCTCACCGTGGGGACCGCGACTGCCTCAGTGCTCGCTCACTCCACGCCTCTCAGTCAACTCTTATCAAAGTCTCAACCAATTGCACTGCTTTATAGAAGACTGATTCATATGTATCATTTCTATTGTACTCTTTGGAGACTCTCCTGGAGGAATCTGCTTACTCCTAAAGGAACTGGGAACCGAACACCCAGACCAAAGCCCCTGTGCCCAACACTCCACCCCCGCTGATGCCCCACACACTAACACACGCAGGCAGTTTGGCAAGAGAAATTTCTTGGTTCTCTACTCAGACCTGAACTCAGGATTTCAGGATTCAGGGGAAATAGGTTCAGGTATATCATCCCTGCCTCCTAAATGCACACTTCTCCAGAATCTAACCTCCCCCACCACACACACACAGTTCTCCTCTCTAGTCAGTCGATAGAAGCACCCAGAAGATTACAGTAATTACAAAAGCAAAGGGGTCCATTCCTGGGAGCCCTTTAGTGATCTGATCTCCCATAACTAGGATGGATGGAGTCATCTGCACACTCTGCCCTGCCAGAGAGAGCTTCTTTGACCCTCCTGGACTCCGCCACCCTCCTCTCTGAGAACACAGTCTCAACTCTGCACACCCGAAGCTTGAGTCAGGGTTGTGGGCTCAGACACAGTCCTTCCTCCAAGCTAGATCAAGTCCCAACACTGAGAGCATGAAAGAGAACACTATTCCCAGGGCCCTATGTCACTTCAGTTCCAAAATCTGCTTCCAAAGTGATGTTTGAAGTATTCTCTCGCATTTGATGGAAGGAAGGGAGGAGGACTGGACGCAGGGAGTGAGGAGAGGGAAAGGGTAACAAAACATCATCAGGGGACAGTGACTTCAGGATTAAAAGTCTTTATTGTTACAGAGAAGACAGCTGCATGACTGAACTCCAGCATCAAGTCCTCCAAAGAGCTGTGTCCAAGGGGGAGAATCAGGCCAGTGAACAGTAGAGGTTAAAACCTCAGGCCTTGCAGTGCATTCAACACAGGCGGAAAGAAGCCCCTCCTGGAGCTGGGAGATGGAGGGAAGCCTAGCAGGCAGGTCTGCAGCACTTTTCCTCCTCGGGTGCTGCTCCTCCGTGGTCCTCATGGCTCAGGTCAGCAGCCAGAGCCCCCCGAGCAGCAGCTGAAGTGCCCTGAGCAGCAGCTGGGGCCCCCAGAGCCGCAGCTGGAGCCCCCAGAGATGCAGCTGGAGCCCCCAGAGCCACAGCTGGAGCCCCCAGAGCCGCAGCTGGAGCTCCCAGACCTCCTGCCACTGCCACTACCACAGCAGCTCTGATGTCGGTGTCGAAGAGATCGGCGAGGCCTGTGGTGGCTCAGGCAGCAGCCCCCTCCCCCAGAGCTGCAGCAGCCCCCACCCCCAGAGCTGCAGCAGCCCCCTCCCCCAGAGCTGCAGCAGCCGCCACCCCCAGAGCTGCAGCAGGAGACTGAAGGTGAACAGGGGGCTGGGCATTGAGGGGCTTTAGGAGGACACTTGGGGGTGCATTTGGGGGTGCACTTGGGTGGGGGCTGACACTGTTTCTGGCTCTGCTTACAGGACATCTTAGCAGGAGTTGAATGAAGCTGAAAGACAATACAGACATTTTAAGTCCAGCTAACCCAATATAACTTCCTTACATTTAGGTTGAACTGTGAATTCACAAGGTTTCATCCTCTTGATGATCATCGTTTTAAACTCAGTCTCCTATGCTCAGTTACAAGAATCGTGCAAAAGGTTTCAACCTAGGAATTCCGTAACTCTGAATGGATTTCTTGCAACTTCAAAAAAGGACACCAATCCCTCTTTCCCTTCCCCTACCGTCTATTAGAACCCTCCCATCCAAATCCTTCCCCCCTCTCCCCCCACCCCGCCCTTGTCTTTGCCAGATTTAACAGCCTCAGCCTCTACCTAGGACTTCTCCCTGTTACCAACACCGGTACCAAGAGTCCTTCCAATGCAGCCTACCTGGTTCAGGCACAGAAGCAGATCACTAAGGAGGCAGGCGGACTGGGGCACTGTTAGAGCGTCCACCCTTTATAGGGCTCAGCGGTGATCTGGCATTGGGCAGTGTAGGCAATGCCGAGATGCCGATAGCCTCTTTCACAAGGGGCCTCCGTGACTATCCTCCCCTCACATCCCAGGGACCAAATTCCTCCTTCCAAGAGCATCTCGAGTATGAACCTACAGGAAGCGCCCCTGGAAGGTAGGCCCTGGAATAGTGATGGGGCTTTGCAAATTGCACACAGCTGCCTGTCAGCCTCACAGGCAGCTCTGCTATGCTCCGCATTTCCCAAGCTGGGTTAGTAGAGTTCTAGACCTCCAGAACAAAGAGAAAGTCTCTTTTGTCTTGGATGAGGGAAATTTTCCCAAGATGGAAATTAGATGGCCCTTTCCTAGGGGGAAAAAAAAAGGTAGAGATTCAAAATAAAATGTAAAATGCCAGGTTCAAATCAATGATCTCACGTGACTTTTTCATTCTTCAATGATGCCACAGCCTGTACTAAGAATGCTTGATATCCCAATGATGTTATTTTAGGCAAGTCAAATGCAGGTGTGTAGCTGGTTGAGCTTCTCTCCTTACCTGAACTTGACCCACCAATGGCACTCGAATAGCACTGATTCAGCACTAATAATCCCTTCAAAAGGGCAGAAGAAGTCCAGGAATGGTTTTCTCTCTACATGTATCCCAAAGAAGGCACCTTTGGTCAGCCCAGGGAGATGGGGCTGGGGGGTGGCAGGAACCAGATATAGGCTGAGAATGAAGCAGGAGAACTAGGCCTATATGGAAATTGCCAGAAGTAAAGCATACATCTGGTCACCCAAAAAAAAAAAAAAAATAGCATCCAACTTGGGAAGATCCTTTTTGAATAAATAATCTTTGAATGGGGAGGATGAATACATAGTTAAGTCCACAATGGTATTTAAAGCTTTTTCCCCTACTAACAATATTCTGAAGACAAGTTAGTTCCCTCCCAAAGTAATCAAATTCTATTTAGCATATTTACAACAAAAACCACAGTGGGAAGAAATAAGACAACCCTGTCTTATTTCTAATTGGGACTAGTTGGGGTTGCAGTGAGAAGCATGTGGGTCGTTCTAACAGCTTCTGGAGGGAAACTGGCATCTGTCCCAAGTTGCAAGCTCAGGCAAGTTATTTAATCATCATCATCAAAGGGGGCAAACAACAATTCTTAACCCCTTAAGGCAGGAAATAGTAAAGTGTTTAGAACAGTTTTGGGGCTTAGTTCCGAAAACTAGTTTCAAAACAAGTTAGCCATTATGAATATTATTATGTCCATGAGAAAGTATCTTTTAAATCTCAACTTTATCGATTCCCAATTTTAGGCCAAAAAAAAAAATCCCTTTCTTTAAATATCAGCACGTAGCTCTTACTTGCCAATGGGGGATAAGATTA